GCCGCTCATGTCCCCCCCCAACCAAAAAAAAAAACTGAACAGGGTGGAAGTCTTCTCAGAATACTCTCGCCTGCTTTTGGGACATCTGCAAGACTTAGGCTGGAGGTAGAAAATCTCCAGTGACGTTCAGCTTGCTCTCTGGAGTGTGTGTTTTGGTGAGGAGGGTAGAGAAACAGCCTGCGGAAAAAGTCCTCCAAGGCACCTTCAAAGGACTCCTTCCACTAAGCTCTACAGCCACAGGAGTGACAGAAGTGAGCTGAACTGGCAGGAAGCAGCAACCAAGGGGGGAAAAGCAGGTGGACACAGTGTCCTGCTGGCTGGTCACCTGTGAGTGAGTCCATTTCTGTCAAATTCATCCTGCTTGTGGACTGGCAGAATGACTGGGACCAGCTGAAGGATGAGAAAACCCCAGGAGCGGAGATCTTCCAGGAACAGGCAAAGCAGGAAACGATTAAAAAAAACATTCTGGAAAGAACTAGAATTCAGGGGGAGGGGGGTGTCTTTGGAGACTGGCACACAGGCATCGCATTTCTTCTGGGGAAAGGTAGGAGGCGCTAGAGAGAGTATGTAAACAAGCTCTCTGGTGCCCAGAGAAGGCTGTGATATCTTCAGGCACGCAGGGTCCCTCGCTGGCCTTCCAGGTAGAGACAGCAGGCCTCTGTTGCTCTGGTCCCTCGCCTTTGCTGCACGGCCTCAGTTCATGTCGATGGTGTTGAAGACCCACTCGGTGAACTTCTTGAGCTTGGCAGAGGCACTCTGGGACTCCTCCTGCAGACGCTGGTTGTCCTCACGTAGGCTCTGGATCTGGGCCTGCAGCACTGCCTTGTCCTGCTTCTCCTGAGAGTGAAGGAAGTTTGCAGAAAAGTAGGAGTAAGAGAGAGAGCGCAACAGGCAAGGAGAAGTGAGGCGTGCAACCCTGGAGCGCTGACGGTCCCCGGCGCTGGATAAGTGGTCTCACCTTCTTCAGGTCGTCCTGCAGCAGCTTCACCATGGACTCCAGCTGGCTGATCTTCCCTGCCAGAGTGATGGGGGCCTCACTGTTGGGTTGGGGGGGGTGGGGAGAGCACAATTCAGCCTGGCCAGTCAGCAAGCAATGTTATCTAAAGCAACATACAATTTTACATGCTGCCCCCCACCACACAGTTGGGCGTCCCAGGAACAAGCACACTTTAGGTCTATGTAACAAGAGGAGTGGGAGCCTCGTTGAAAGACACGGGATTGTAGCTGAGAGCAAAGCCTCCAGTGACTAGTGACTTGCTCTTCAAAACAAACACTGAAGCTCGGAAGGACTATGCTAACTGTGTGCTGTTGCTAAAGACCCAGTACAGCAGTGAGGGATAGACAAGGTGGGAGGTTCCAGCCAATCCTGTTAGGGCTGGGGTTAGGTAACCTGCATACCCTGGAGAGAAGAGCTGCTGGCTGCACTCAGCATTCTGAGGACTGGAGGTGCCACCTTTGGGCTGGTGGTTCACATCTTGAGTGACAAGCAGTGAGGCCCTCTGGACTGCAAGGGGCAGAGAGAGCGGGCATGAGAGAGCGGGCATGAGAGAGCGGGCATGAGAGAGCGGGCATGAGAGAGCGGGCATGAGGTCTTCATCATACAGTCGTCACCATAGAAAATGTGTCCACCTCGCTCGCGGAGTCTTACCTTCGAAGGCCTTGGCCGCATCGACGAGGTTGGACCAGTCCAGCCCACTGTCAGCATCTGCATTTGGCAGCGGCATCAGGCCCGGGTCCGGAACTGGCGGCCGCCTCCGCTCCTGGAGGTCCGTGAGGGAGGTTTCAGATGCCGAGAGGTCTCCTATTAGGGGAGGGGGCAGCATAATGTCACAGGACCGGCGGATCACCTTTTACTAAAGCCTTTAAGGTGTCTGAACGGAATTAAGAAGAGTGGAGTGAATGTATATTTATTCTTTACCAGGAGGGGGCACCAGCAGAAAATTACACAAAGCAACAAAAAGACCAGTGTAGGACTCCAGAGAGGGTTTTCTACACTACAGTGAGATGGGGGATTTCCCAGTGCTCACCGTGCAGCTTGACGCCCAGCAGATAGGAAGGCCGGCGGAGGGGCCCCCCCCGCACTGTGGGGGAGCGTGGCACGGTGGAGGAGCTGAAGAACACGTCGGCCGAGGCCGGCTGGTCAAGGCCAAAGGCTGGGTCACGCTGGCCGCTGTAGATGCTCTCGTCTGATAAGGTACGGTGCAGAGAGCGGCGTGCGGGGGCCGAGCCTGAAAAGGAAGGCTGACAAAGAGAGACAAAACAATGTGAAGCACACAGTGAACTGGATGCTGTTAGAACAGCAACAATATATTCCAGTTTCGGTGTGATTTGCCTCAAAATGAAACAAACTCTAGGTTATATCCTATACAATGTTCCTGGGAAATTTGAAAAAGAAATCTATGAAATACTTTTAGAGTTATTGTGTTCAACAGTTACCAATTCCATCTTTTGTGCCAGGTGTTTGGAAAGAGGTAATAAGAACTACCGAATACTTTCTGCAGTGACCCTTCCCTCTGCTGCCACAAAATGGCATTGCTTCAGTTTTCTCAAAATGAAATCAGTTCCAGAAGTTTTCCTATACAAAGTTCCTGTGAATTTGAAAACGATCTGACAAATACGGCAGGATCTGTCCCAAAACCATAGGTATTCCCCATCTGGCCGGAAAATAGAACACACTGACTTTCAGCTGAAGTTATGCTATGTTGACTTTTAACGCCATGACAGCAACCAGGGCTATATTCATTGCGAGAAAACAGACTGGACAACTAAAAAGGTAAAAACTTCATAAATAATAATTGCTACGGACAAAACAATATAAATAAGATGTTTAAGATTAGTTTTCAATAATAAAAAACCTAAAAAAAGCCTTGACATTGCATTACTGGCGATGGAGAAGCAAAAATAAAGAGTGTGGGATTATCATGTGCTGTCATTCAGCGACTAGGTTACACCCTGTCCCAGTACATCATTGGTTCGCATCAGGATGAAGCAGGCAGTGATTAATAGGTCATGCTAACTGCCACTCAACTCCCTTTAAAGGGGAGCGTACCTTTTGTTGGCTGGTGGCCGGCGGTGGGCTGTCCAGCATGATGAGCTTCTTCAGGTCCTCCTGTATGGTGGACCTGGCCAGGCGCTGCGGTGACTGCGTGTCCCGCATGGTGGCTGTCAGCTGTGGCTGGCCAGACTCCATGCCCTCGCTCTGGTGCCGCCTGTTTCACAGAGCCGATGTGTTAGCATGTTAGGGTTACACAACTGCTCTGTCCAATAGCGTTGGGACAGGGGGCAAGCTTACATTTATACACATTTTTACATGCAAGCGTGAGTGCTAGGGAATATAAAAGTAGATAAAAGCAGTTTCCCAAGAGAGATAAAAGTAATATCCCAAGAAGGAAGAAGAAAACATCACTAACAGTACATGCAGTAGGATTTTAAAGGTTTTTAAAAAGCCTGCTTTGATCACTTCTGACCGCCGTCAATGTTTCTGCCCTTTATGGTCAGCGAAAACCAGAGACAAAACCACATTCCTTATTCCATCCAGGGGATCAGCGGAAAACATACTGCTGTACCCTTAGTGTCCACAAGGTGGGGACAGAGTCAGAGAATTTGAACATTGTTTCCTGAAATGTGAAGTACTAACAGAATACCCTAAAGGGTTTGTGTGTGTGTGTGTGTGTGTGTGTGTGCTCCCTTTCCTCCAACACCCCCTGCTCACTTTCGTGTGTCCCCAAAGCCCACTGAGTTGATGGTGCTTCCTGGCTTCTTCCAGCCAATAAGGTACTTGCTGGTGGCACCCTGGCGCGGGTAGAAGCTCTTGGGTCCCGGTGAGAGGGAGCTCTGAGAGGAGGAAGAGGAAGGCGAAGTGGCCGGCACAGACTCCTCCCGGGGGGAGCTCTGGCTGGAGCCCTGGAGCCCCGGGCTGGCAGAGTGCCTGGAGCTCAGAGTGCTGAGGGGGGGAGAGGAGCCAAGTCACCATACAGGCCACCGAGACACCAGGAGCCCCGAGACCAGCACATAGAAGACAATGGCTGCAAAAATCCACCATTAACCCCACCCCCCACACCCACACCTCACAGGGAGCCTATTAGGAAGCTCTAAGCAGCTGATAGTCAGTATCAGGCAGACCAATCAAATGGCTCAGAGAGTGTGTGTGTGGGGGGGGGGGATACCAGAGTGCTGTGAGCCATGTAAGCATGTATGACAAAGACAAGACTGGGGGGGGGATCAGGAGTCAGGTGGGGAGTGTCCAGCACTGCCGCTGCTGGGGAGTGGACAAGCCGTGTAGAAAAGCGCGGAGCCCGTTAACCAGCAGACTCAGAATGGCGACGACTCTCAGTCCCGGCTGCCGCTCTTTTATCATACATATTCATTTTAAACATGCCTGGTCGTCATACATCTAACCTTGGAAGAAAGTCTGCAAATAAGACTGGAGGGTAAATGTCTCAACGTCTCATGGAAAAACCTCCAGCAGCAAACAACTAACGCTGATGCGCAAAGTACAAAAAGCAGCTCATAAAGCGCCTTTCCTTCCGTCACATGGCACCGGTTCTAAATTGGGGGGATGGGGGGAAATAGGAGCACTGCTTCCTGTTCTGCTCCTTTGACAGCATTTCCCCCCCCCCCCACCCCCACCCCCACCCCCACCACCACCCAGGCCAAGGCCCAAGAACAATTCCGAGACGACGGGAGGCCCAGAGCCGCAGGCGGCTCTCTTAAGCGCCCAGACGTCACACAATTAGACCGAGCTGCGAAAGGGAATTACATTTACATTTCATTTAAAGCATCGGCTATTCAGAATGACAAAATATTTACCCAGTTAAAAGGCTATATGTGTCACTGGAGCAATTAAGTAACTTTGCTGAAAGGTATTACAGCAGAGAGAGAGACTTCTGGGACTCAAACAAGCAACCGCTGAAGCCAAAGCTCATGCTTTAACTGTGCTTCCTGATACATTAGCTACTGGCTTGGGTCTTAAAGGGAAAGGCACCTGGAATAGGATGTGACGTCATTCAGGGTGTAGGAGCTGGAATCTCGCATCAGGTATGTAGAGGGGCTCTTGGCGAGACCTTCGGTGCCACCCGGGGGCACGGGCGAGCCCAAGGTCGGTGGGGAGCACTCCGGCACTTGCTGGCCCCCATCCGTGGGGCTGTGCCAGGTAGTGGCTACCTTTTCCCGGAACCCTGGGGCCCCAGAGGCCAGCAGGGAGCCTGAGCTGTGAGCAGGCCCATAAGAGGCGGCGTCAATGCCACTATCCGCAGACTCCCCCTGCAGGTAGCCGGTGGCATAGCCATTGGTTTCCGAGTCGGGCCGCTCCACAGGCCCACCTCCGATGTCATACCACTTATCGTCGCTGTGGGCGCCACTCGAAGCACTGCTGGACATAGTGTTGCTGCTGGAATGGCTGGAGTAGGGGGCTTCCGCCTGGGGACAGGAAACGGGAGGGGCGTCACTTCCTGTGACCGACAGCAGCTCCTAAGACAGCTGCCATATTGTTGCATGTTCTCTCTGAGAGGATGGTCATTTGTATAACTCTGTTTCTATAACACAAACTCACTAATGTTAGCATTTCCCAAGAGCCTAAGATGTAAACCACACAGAAGTCTTCGGCCCCTTGATTTGGCAACCGGCGACCTCACCAAGAATACAGTACACCACCTGAGGTGGGAGGGGCAACCTCACCTGGCTGGTCTTGTTGGGGGACAGGTGAACAACCTGCTCCTGCCGCTGGATACGGGGCACCCCCGAGTGGGATGAGACAGACCTGGAGACCGGCGAGTCTGAAAACAAACAGGGGGGTGAGAGACCAGAACAGGCTGGGAACGACAGATGGCACACTGCCATGGCCGAAGCCCTCAACTCAGCCCCGAGTGAAACTACAGCTAAAGAACAAATGTACAAAGTAAAACAATGAACAATGAGATTAGGGAGGTTTCCCAGCATGCACCTGCTCAGCCTTCTGCAACGGCAGAGACGCCATGTGGACAGGAGGCACAACTTTAAGCCTCGCATCAGTAATATATAAAGCGGAGCGTTTGATAAGAGCGCAAGGGCAATGATTCAGGAAGACTGTCTGCAGCGAGTGTCTGGACGTCCAGCCCAGAACGGCGTGGCGGCAGGGAAGCATACATGAGGAATATGTCCATGCATGCCAGCCCTGACCTAGATGGGAATAAAGGGACGGATTTGTGGGAAGGAAACCGAGGTCAGGAATCAGGAAAGAGAGGCTGTGGGTGATGGGGGGGGGGGGTGCGGAGACATGATCCGCGGAAAGTCTGGCGCGACTGGGCTGCGGGTTCAGCGGTTCAGATGGCTAAGTGAACCAGACGTAGCACGCCGGCGGTTAGCCTGTTGCTCACGCTGCTCAAACGAACACACTGGAAAAGGAGGACGGCGAGGGAACCAGGGCCTGGAAAACCACAGCTGGGCTTCCCCTGGAGTGTGGAGGGAAGGAGAGACAGTCTGCTGGGGGGGGGGAGCGGCAGGAATGCTGGGATGTATATGTGAGCATCACGGGGAGGCAAGCAGCAACGGCTGTGGGAGGACAGCTCTTCAGAACACTAATAAAGAAATGGAACGTTTTATAAATGATATTTGCCTGTATGTGTACTCCTTTGTGCTTGCGTCATATTTGCGGCGGGGAGCAGTCACTCCGCACCCCCAGGGCTGGGAGACTGAACTGCGCCTGGGTGTGCTTTGGTTTCCACCCATATATGCGTTTCTTTGGGCGCGATGCATCACTCAGCGGGTTAGGCCTCTGTGCTCATGATCAGAAGGAGATCAGTTCAAATCCTGTGGCCAGCTGACTGATGCCACCACTGTGCCCCTGAACAAGGCCCTTAAAACCCAGCTCTAAGGGGCGCTTCACACTGGCTGACTCTGTGCTGTGACCCCTAAGCTTCGTCTCACCTGAATGCAATGTGTCTCACGTACCAAAAATGGAGGACCGTGCCAGATGCGATGAATGCAAATTTTTATTTTTTTTTAAATATACTGCAAAGAAAAAAAATAATACATTTTTGGTGTGAATGCAACGTCAGGACCGGAATCTAGTTTCGGCATAAGCACCAGCCCTGGTATGAAAGGCTAACGGAATATGGGCGAAAAGAAAATTTCCACATGGGGGAATAAAGTATCATTATTGTATTCAAATGCAGAAAACAAAAGTACATAAGTAGCCATGTTTGTTTGGAAGAAAGCAACACGTTACTGCGATAACAAAAGGCTGAGGCAGATCACATGAACAACATCATCATAAACTAGCCTAGGAAGGTCGAGGCGACACTGAACGGCCACTTCAAGGGGAACCAGCCATGACGTTACAGGTGACCAGCTACAGAGAAGGTCTGCTTCCAGACAGCTCACCTGAGGCCCTGCTTCCAGTCCCAGCCGACTCCTCGGCCCTCTGCCAGTTGGGTGTGGACTTGCCGCTGCCCCCCGTCTCCCCCAGACTCTGCCTATCCACTGAGAGCGGCGAGTGCCGGCTCATGCTGAACCTGGGAAAGGAAGAACGGATGGACCCACTGTTAATCTGCACACCATGTGCCCTGCGGCAAACATTCCTGTCGGGATTAAGCCCCCACCCATGGTGCCGATTCCCTATTAGATTTATAAGCAGCCTCATCAGTGAATCACCCCTTCATAAACACTGCATGAATGAATGATTCAGGGGGGTGTGCACGGGTGGAGTGAGAGGTAGAGGGGTGAGGTGGGCTTCCTGAACACATGACAGTCAATGCTATGGTTCAGCTCGAGCTCCACATCTGTCGGACACATTGCAGGAGCTATTTATATCGCAATTAATCAACCTAATAAGAGTTTCGTCAAAAGCACAAAGAAGTACTGCATCCAAAAGCGGACCACAGCTACAGCTCTGCACATGCCAGACCGGACCGTGTCGGATCTCACCCCTCAGGCATGGACTTCTGGCGCCAGTGGGCGGAGCCTCCGGAACCCGTGTCACTGGAGTAGGAGAGGTTGCTGGGAGAGGCCCGGCTTGGTGGGGAGCGGCCCATTACCATGGAAGAAGCCAGGGCATAGTTATCTGAGCCCGGGGAAAAACTGAAAAGCAGTGGATGGGGGCAGATGGAGGATGAGAAAGAGATGGAGGGTAAGAAAGGATGAAAAAAACACAACATGGACGACAATGTGGCCAGGTGCCTGTTTGTCAGCGCTCCTCACCGCTTTGGGTCTAAGGGCCGCCCATCACTGGACACGCTGCGGGGCATCATGGCAGCCCTGTCAGGACGTTCCATAGAGCCCGTCTTCCCAATGCTGCCCCCCATGCTGAGGGCACGTGGCGTGCTCCCATGACCCTGAGGCGAGGCTGACAGCGTTTGCTGGGGACTCGACGTGTTACGCTGCCACTTGTTGGTGTTGTTGCGAAAGGGAAGCTTGTACTCAAAGTTGGAGCTCTCCGCGTTACTCTTGTACTCAACTACTGGCATGCGGTATAGCTCCGAGCAGCCCCTGGAGGTCAAAGGACTACACGTCATGCCCTGAATATGCCACATTTCCCAGAATCCTCTGCACTCAACAGCACTACACATTACCCAGAAATCCCACCAAACCTCAAAATCATGCACCAGTCAGCCAGATAAGGTTAAAAACTATTCCATACGAGTAACCTTCCATAACTATTCACATAGAGGAATGGTGTAGGGACTGGTCTGCACACCTGCGAGGGCTGGAGTCCTCATGCGGTGGAATGATCACCACCTTCACGGTGACCGATGTACGTAGAAGATCGATCATTTGCTCATGAGAGAGCGTGGCCACAGCCACCTTGCAGATCTCCACAAGGCGGCTGCCCTGCCGCAGGCCTGCCTGCCAGGCATAGCCGTAGGGCTCCACTTCTGCCACGATGCCCTCGTAGTTCACGTGGAAGCCCAGCTGGCCCAGGCCGTTCCGTCGCAGAGTCATCTCCGTGGTCTCGCAGCCTTTCGTCAGGAACTGGGGATGGAAAAAAAACACACTCCTGTAACACTGGGATGACAGCAGGACGACCAGGAACCAGCGTGGTGGGAAACTCCATCACTTAACTCAGCACTCAAAATCAAGTAGAAAACCACAGGCAATTGAGGGGGCACTTACACCTCAATGCCAGGGTCTTCATAACGTTTCATAATGACTGAACTCAGAGATAACTTTCAATGCAATAACCTCCTTCCGGGGCTCAGAGATCACCTTCCAGAATGAGTAGCAGATCCTAAGGCTTCATAAGTATTTGATTCCATGGGTCATGGATGCAATATAGTTGGCAGAACACTGTCTACCATTTCTGGGGGGGCGGCAACAGCAAAGCTATTGAACTTTTGATATGCGAGTGCCTATGAGTAGACATCGGGGTGTGGAAAAGAAAAGGAGAGCTGGGAGTTAGTGTCAGGTGGGATGCCGGAGAGGACAGGCGTTTCTCAGAGTTATTCCAGAACATTCCATAGCGGTGTGGTCTTGTCCCTAGGGTGGTTCCACTGCAGCAATGTGAGTCCGATGTAGCGAATGGAGGGAGACAGACGGGTCAACTCTCATCTTAGAAACAGTGACAGATGAACAAAAGAAAAGGGACAGCCTCATGAAAGCAAAAAAAAATGCAGCTGAATGTTGGAAGGGGGTGTGATTTCATGGGCAGATAAACTGGTGGGGGGGGGGGGGCAAAATGTGAGGGCTCTAAACGAAGTTATGCATGACAGGAAGATGGAGTTCCACCCGCCTGCCACACAACGAACTCCAGGGGGTGCATGTTTTATGCAGCGTTAATTTACGATGCTGTGGAGTACCCAACATGCCGTGTATCTTTAATACTACCTGAGCAGTAGGGAAGGGCCAGTTAAACAAGCACACCACATTAACTCAAGAATGAGCCCATGTGACTCCAAGCTACACTGACCTCCAAGCGATTGACCACCTCCCGGAAGTCCTCTGTATTGTTGTTGAAGGAGCGCAGCGATATGCTCTCGCCTCGCTCGTAGAAGACCTTCATGGAGGCTGGGCTGCCCAGGGTCCAGCCAATCACGTCGCGCACCGAACAGTTGAAGACCACAGTCTTGGCTTCAAGGTCAAGCAGGATGAGAGCGTCGTTGGAGATGCCCAGCAGGCCCTCGAGTTCGCCTCCAGCATTGTGGTCTTCCATGTGCACGGGCCAAGTGATGGCGCTGGGGCTCCGCAGCTCAGCGCCCACATAGGGCCGGGTCTTCTCCCGCCGCTTATGGGCCAGCGAGATGAAGGGGAATTTGCCAGAGGGGTCGATGGGAGTGCTAGTCACATGCTGTTCAGCCAGGTCGCGCAGATACTCCTGGCGTGTCCGAGTGGCCATGGCCCGGAATTTCTCAGACTTGTGAGCAGCATTCTCCGCGTTGATCACCTTGGTCAGCAGGAAGTCCCGGAAGACCGAGGACTTGGGGAAGGTCACACCCTTGGGGATGGGTGGGCCAAATGATGCCACAACCCGGGACCGGGCAACAGCCACACTGCAGAGGAAAAAAGGACAGAGTAAGGGGGGCGAGCGGAATGGCTGCCATCTATGCTGGCCACACCCTGGAATGTGTATTAATCTCCATGGAAGTCACAGATGGAATTCTGCGCCAGCATTCTAAAATTCCAAAAGGCACTGCCCATTAAGGGTCAGGATCTAGCAACCACATCAAATAATCTGTACCCTTGTATTAGGGTACAGGAAACCGTTCAATCAATTAAATCATTCAAACAGTTATGGAAATGAACCAGAGATGACTTAAGGGAGAAGAGCGCCGCCCTGTTGGTGGACTGTGGAAACACTACATTCCATTATGCAAAGACTGGTTCTTTCAGTGTTCCCAAGAGCATCTCAAAGCGATTATGGAAAATTAAATGAGAAATAATCAACCCTTGTGTATCTGCAATATGCCTCCTACGTCATCTAGACGGTCACTGTTTAAGAAATGACTGTTTTGAATTTCTCCTGAAAAGGGGGCTGCTATAGCCATTTTAAAATACAGCATTTATAAAAAGAGTGATTGTTTCTGTGATAGTGCTTCATCCGGAGGGATAACAGGGGAGTGCATTAGAATTCAGCGGTTTTCGGTTCTGGTCCATGAGCCCCCGCCACAGCAGCAGAGCTGGGGGCTACGTCTGCCTCCACAGACAGGGTAAGCTTTTTAGCTCCCCCACCCTCCCCCCACACGCTCTTTTCCTTTCATTAGACTTCTGGAACAGACATCTGAAGCTTCCTGTGCTGTCTGGTATGCCGGGAACTCGGGGAGCTTGTTGAACCAGGCTGGAGTCGAGAATTTGGGTTTGTTTGGAGAACTCCAGCCCACAGTCAGGGGCTGGCAAAGGGTGGGATGGGGGGCGCGCAATTGGCACGGGAGCTGGTTCTACTCCAAAGGGACGGGAGATGGGCCTGGGAAGGGACACGTCCCCTGTGGGGTTAAAAAGGGAGGTGACTGATCCGGCCCCAGTTGAACAACTCTCCGGGGTAACTCTACCTCCAGCAAAAATGCCTTGTTCCAAGAGGAAGAGGGTAGAAGATAAAAGAAAGTGTATGTGTGTGTGTGTAACAGAGAGAGAGAGAGTGTGAGAAAACACACTCCAGCAACCTAGGACACGATTACAGGAACACCTTTGTGTTAAATAAAGAACTTCCAGTCAGCCATTGTCTCAGCTCAAGCTTTTCAGTTTCCGGAGTAAAAAGGGGCATTGCCCTCCCTTATCGGCTCGTCTCTCCTGGTGAGGAGTGTCTATCCTTTCCGGGCCGCATTATCATTCCACAATGTACCAGCATGTTCATTTACATTGAATTAGTCAGCTGCTGTATGCTGAGCTGTCTGGTAAAAGGCTTCGATCTACAAAGGTGCCGGTTGCTGGGACTAACTTCCTTAGCACAGTGGAATCCACCGTGCGACCACACATTCCTGCAAAGTGTCTCTCTGGGGTGTGATAACATAACTACCATATCTGGGCGAGAAGACGCCCTGGGGGGGGGGGAGGATGATCAAGGCTTCGCTTTCACTGCCCTCAAAGGATAGGCAGACTCCGAGCAGCTGAGGAACAGGTGGGGGATGGAAGACACGGACGCGGGCGCCGATGTGTCAGGCTGGCATGCTTATGACGCGGCATGGGACTCCTAATCAGTGACTAATCACGAGGCAGCCGGACAGCGCTGAAGGTGAACAGGCCAGCGTACACTGCTGGGCACCCTACACCAGCGGTACGGCTGCCCCCAAAAACCACAGTCCTTCAGACAGAGTCAGATTAGCACTGGACATCTTGTAGGGTCCCGATCTTACAGGCGAGCCAGCTTAATCTCACCACCTCCAGTCTCTTTATGGACAGCTCCCCCTTAGAGGGAGAGACAGAGATATGAAATGTTACTCAGCGCCCCTTAGGGCCTCCCCAGATCTCCTAACCAGTGTTTCCCAGTCCGGTCCTCGGGGGGACCCCCAGACAGTCTACGTATTTGCTGGGAGGAAGTAAAAACATGGACTGTCTGTCAGGGAGCTGGAAGGGAGCAAAAAGGACCAACTGCCAGTTCCTGAGGAAATACTGTCCTAACAATGGTGTGTTCCCATTCTCACTGAATGAAGTCAGCTGGATCTCTGTTAAACCAGCCATTCCAGCAGACCGCATAGTGGTCGCGTATCAACGCAAAAATGGCACGCCCAGGTGCCTACATCTCCTAGGACAGCTGGGGGGGGGGTGTTCTGGTGCTCACCTGTAGCAGGTGTTTTCCGAGCAGGGGTTGTGTGCGCGCACTACGATGAACACATGCTGGAATTGTGAACGGATGTACTTGGGCGAGAAGGCTTGGGCACCGGGCTCCTGGAACACAATGGTCACGATGTCGTTCCCAATATGCCGTTTCCTCAGCAACTGGAAGAACAAGGTGGAAGGTGAGAGGGATTAGGGAATAGTGCAGCTCTGACGGCAAAACGTAATGTCATTAATCTTTGACAGCAGAATTTGAGAATGGCAAACTCAACTCAAAACACAAATGGGATCAGCTGGTCTGGGATTACAGTGTTCCTTAAATATCCATTGCTCAGGTTCAGTTTCTAAAGATGACTGGTTGCTTGCCAAACAGCTCCACCCACCCATTGTACTACTCGTGCACGTTATGGAGCATACCTGCTGTCTGTTGTTGGGCGTGTAGGGCAGCATGGTAGACACGTGGAACATGATCTCATAGTCCTTGTAGGTAGTGTACAGGGAGTGGGTACCAGTGCAATCCGCTGCAAGATCAAGAATATCCGGATTAGCAACCAACCACAGGGAATTTGTGCTAAACTGGTCACCCCCCACCCAGAGGCAAAAACACCAAAGCAAATCTCCTGAAACAAGTAACAAGTTAAAGCTTGAATGGATTAAGAACTCCAGGCTCGGAAGCGGACACCCTGGTCCTGTCATTGACTCGGCTCGAAGACCTGAGAGATACCAACCATATCTATGAGGATCACTGGGACAGCACAGCAGGTAGGGAAGTAAGTTGATGACTAAAACCTTGAACATCCCAGTACCAAGAAACACTATGTCAAAAGAACCCAGTTATTCTATCAGTGTGGCATTTATCTTCTAAGGCACAATCTGCTGTGAAATTATACACCTGAGGGCAAATCAGAATCGTCTATTGAGCAGAACAAGATTAATAAATATGGTTCCAGTAAGTGTGAAGCATCAGCTAATAAGCTAATTAATTTAATTAAAGAGGTGCCTTTTGTGCGTGTCTTTAGCTCCACACAGCTGCACTTCCATATTTACACCACTGATTAAAACAGGAAGTTGGGATTCCGACCAGAATCCCATGAAAGCCCGTGACTGGCTGTTATCCTGAACATTAAGAAAGAAGAAAAACACAGAGCGAGGCTTGATTCATAAAAAGCACATCACTTACATTGAGGATACAGAGGGGAGGGATTCCCATTGCCCTGCTATGTATAACTACTGATGTCACAACTGATTGATTACTTAACTCAGCATTAGACATCAGATCTGGACGGAAATGTATCTGTCAATATGAACCAACCCAGAACAGCCAAGTGTCGCCATTATGTCTGTGGTGGTTCTAAGCGTTTGGCAGTCTTAACAGGAAGACTGTAGAGCTTAATATTACTACATCCATGCCCCCCTCAATAGCTGCTAAAAATATTAGCTACGTAGTGCCCACTTCAGCAAATTTCTGAAGTGAATGATGAAACACCTTCTTCCGCAGTACCAAATATGCATTAGGTAGTGTTACTGGTCTCATGCACACCTACACAAGCAAATACACACACAAACTCGCAAACACATACAGACTTGCCCTGGGACTAAGGCACAGAGATATATTTGGAGACATTTGGATCTCTCCCTCCCTGACACAGCGGAATAATCCCCTGAGCAGGGACGGTGTTGTACATATGAAGTCTCCACTGGTTATTTTCCAAGCAGCACCCCTTCTGCCCCGTCCCACAGCCGCCGTTTCTCCTCACAGACTCTCTCTTCTCTGCTCCTACGCATCCTGAGCATGTGCACTCGCCCGTGACAGGAGAACAGGAGAGGCAGAAGACGGGGCCTCGCTTATTCAAACAAACAGATATACAGACAGATAAACAAAGCAGGAACTGGGCTCTGGTAAAGCTACTAACGGATTCACAGGCACGGTCCAGGAAAACACCCCCCCCCCACCTCCCTTTTTATAATGCTTTGCTTAAAAACATCAGGGCACTGAGCTGGCACTACTTCAGACTGGCACCAGTTCAGGTGGAGGTGGGGGGGGGGGGGGGGGGGGGGGGGTAGAAGATGAGGAAATTACAGAAATACACAAATGTAATTAAGGGCATGATTGGGATCGAGGGCAATTTCCTGGTCTGGTTTACAAGCGTGGAGGGGCACGAGCATGCAGAGGGGCAAGGGGCACGGCGAAATAAACGCAGGGCAGAGCAGAGCCACACAAACAGAAGAGGGATATAAAGGCAGACAGAAGAGGAGAAGAGAGATCATGGCCAGCACTTCACAGGCAGCCAGTGCAGACGGGGAGGCAGCCAATCCAGGAACGGCAGCAGATGGGGCGGGCGGGAGACACTGATAAGAACTTGCACAATACCTTCTCTGATAGAAGCGTGCGGGGGTGGGGGGGTACACACATTTGAGCCCCCACAAAACCCCTAGGCTAGTCTACTTTAAGCGGGCAGAAGCACCCAGCTCCACCCCCGACCCCCCCGGGAGACGTACTCTTGGTGTCGAGCTGAGCGCGGTACTTGGAGAAGCCCTTGAGGCGCACGCGCTCCCCCAGCAGCTGCAGGAACTCCTCCAGGGCGGGGCCCGCTGACTCGTTGTTGTACATCTCCTCCTCGCTGCTCTGGCCTGCCTGGCAGTACATCACTCCCACCTTCAGCTGGAAGCTCAGCTGTGGGGGGGGGGGGGGGCGCACAGTTAACAAATCAGATGGGGTGGGGTAGGAAGGTGCAGGTCTGCCCTGGACTTACAGCTACACCTGTCATGCAAACCAGCCACGTCCGCCACATGCAAAGGGTAGCCCGCCGGCCCCCCAGCCCTGGAGTGACGCGCCTACCCCCTGCTCGTCCAGCTTCATCAGCTGCTCCGTGACCTTGGGCGTGTTCAGGGCCAGCCGCAGGCAGTGCGTGTTCAGCTCAGGCACCAAGTATTCCAATACCTCCTTCAAGGGCAGCCCACGGGCGATGCCATGCTTGGAGGTGGAGGGCACAGCGTCCTCCAGGATTGACCCCCGGAGCGTGGTCAGCTGGGGGGGTGGGCACAGGAGAAATGAAGAAGCATGTTGGCATGGCTTTACACTTCATCAGATCCACCCTAGAATGGATATCACAGTCTTATCTTAACCAATCTTAACCCCCCCCCCCAAAACATGTCAGTCTGCATAATGAAGCAGACTGTCACAGTTGCACTTAAATACCCCCGAACGTCCCCAAAAAGTGGCTTGTGTGGGGATCAAACCAGAGCAGACAGGAAATGATGTCAACGAGACTCCTGCAGACCGGCGACAGAGCACTTATTGTGTCCTGTGGTGATGGCGAGGCTGACCGCTCTATCTTATCCCCCGTCCCCAGGAGGGGGAAGGGTCTTCCATCTAAGGCTGTGACAAAGGTGCGCTATCTCCATAGGACTCACGGTGGACCAGTGCCCGAGACAACACCCCCTAAAGGCCTCAGATACTCTGACAGAGCATCACTCCTTGGGAGGATAAACGTGTCAATGAACGTGTCAAAGCTAGCTGGGCAGTAGGGTGCCCACTCAGCCCCAGCATTCACCTTGCAGGTTCGGAAGATCATCCGGTAGTTGTACTGCGGGCCATGCTCCTTGTGATCTTCCAGCTTCTCCCTGCGGATGCTTACTGCCACTGGTCCCAGTGACTCATCCATCCCAAAGTAGTTCCAGTGCTCTGAGCGACACAAAAATGGAAGGGGGGGCGGGGGGTCAGGCAGAAATAGAGAGCTGGGAGGGTAGACACCCCTCAATGTGAGCTGAAAGTTTCAGATTATAGAGTCTTTGAGAAGCAAAGGATTTTGGGATTTCTGATATCATCATGAATCTGAGACTCAGACACAAGACAGCGTGGCAATGGAAGGAACAGTCACTGCTGGATGCCACAAACCACAAGGACCAGTGCTGTAGTGTCAGTCAGTGGGGACCCCCCAGGGAAGTTGCTGAAGGAGGAGGATACACAGGCAACTGCACTGTTTCCCTATCAGCACTGTGGGAAGCCATAAATGCAGCCCATTAAGAGCTAATTGCGCTGAACAGATGGCAAGTACTGTATGTCATTATTATTATTATTTTTAATTATTGACATTTAGCCACAGAGGTCTCTCTGAACAGCACAACAGGAAGTCAATTTTCCCAACCTCCATGATTTATGCCACACTGGGGAATCGGACAGCAGGGGAGACTGTAGAGGTCACATGACCCAAAGTGGCCTTTCCTGCAATCCTCGTCTTTACTGACCAACTCGCTATGGGACCATCGAATCACACCCAGGGGGCGGGTCTTAAGAGAGCAAAAGCACGGAGGGCAATGTCATCGACAAGTCCCCCCACTCACCTCTGACGTAGAAGTACTTCCTGTAGTAGTAGGCGCCCAGGTCCACGTGCTCCACACTGTAGCGCTTGCTGCGCTCGCTGTGGAGGCCCTGGCCATCCTTCTGCATCTCCAGCACAGCCACCCCAGCATTGGTGCAGTGAGAGCTGAGGGACGACTCGCAGGGGTTGCCATCTCCGGTGACCACGATGCCCCCCCTGCCAATGCTGCCCAGCTTGGACAGACTGATGGTGCGCTCGCCCTCGCCGCCAATCTCGTTGCGGAAGCAGGGGCAGTTGAGCACCAGCTCGTTGCTCTTGCCGTCTCCAGAGTCCAGGGTGGGGCTGAGCTCCTCCTGGCTGCCGGCAGCCGAGGCACCTGTGTTGGTGTTTCGGAGCTTGACAGCCATCTGCCTGCTCCGCACCACCTCGTTGAGGTCAAACAGGATGCTCTGGACGTCATAGTGAGCGAAGCCTTTCTGGCAGACCCATGGCTTATGAGAGGCAGAGGTGCCGTCCTCCGAGCGGCCGTCCTCAGCGTCCGAGCCCGCTCTGGACGTGTCCCCCTCAGCACGTGAGTTGCGGAGCTTGCGGAATATTGAGTCCCCACCGATCTCCGACTTGGTCCGCCTCTTCATGGACTTCGATCGACCAGAAGGGCTCCCCCTTGTGGGCACCATGGGCCCGTCCGGAACGTCAAGGCCGGCCTGCTTGTGGCTGGCAGTCAATAGGTCTCCGAGTTTCTCCGGTGCTGGGCTGCGCTGGTCGGGCTTGTCGCCCTGGTAGCCCTTGAGCATGTCGAAGAAGCTCTCGCCAGCGGCATGCTTGTCGATGGAGGATGTGCTGCCGTATTCCCGGTGGATCGGCGACCACTTGTAGCCGGAGGCATCCCAGTCCTCAAGGCTGTCGCCGTCGCCATCTAGCTCTCCAACAGTGATGTCGCTGTTGCTCCGCTGCCGGACGCGTCGGCTGGGCCTGCGTGGTGGCCCGCGGTACTCATCAGGGGACAGGTAGGAGGGGTCGGTGGTGGTGGCCGTGCCAGTACCCTGCGTCTTGCTCTTCAGTGTCTTCTGAATATTGCGCAGCATAGAGCAGTCCTGTGGGCTCATCAGGAGGCCCGGTTTGTGTGGCAGGCTGCCTGGGCCCCCACCCACCGCGCTTGGGGGTTCTGAGTCCATGGAGGCAGGCCACACCCCCGGCGTGTCCTTCCGAGGGGGCCAATCAGCCACCCGGTCCCGCACTCCCATTTTGGGCACCCCGGGCCGTGTGGCAGGGTGGGTGTTCTCGCTGCGCAGGGGTGGCGCCGGACCATTGGGCAGCCGCAGGTGGCGCATGTGGAACTCATCGGTGGCGAGCACGAAGCCGCCCGCGCTGCGCTCAGTCTGCAATCGCTTCAGGCTGGTCATGGCACGCTGCTGCTGCGACGGCACCGTTCAGCGGGGGAGCGGGAGCATAGTGGCCGCTCAGGTTGAACGCTGCACACGGGGCGCATGGACCATGGCGCGGACCAGTGGTGGCGAAGCAGGAGGAGCACGAGTTGGCAGAGCTTGCTCTGTAGGGCTCAAGCTGTCATGCACGCTGCCCCGAGGCCGTGTGACTGCTCAATGTCCACACACTCAATCTCAATGCAGCCACATCCCGCTCAGGAAACCCCAGGATCCTGCAACAAGAGGAGAGACAGACAGAGAGAATGAAAGAGGGAAAGCAAGGAGCAAACGTCTCCGATGTCAAAGGGAGAAGCCAGGAAAGTCATCTGCTGGCATCATCCACCATCAAAGAAAATACAGCAGGACAGCCAGAGGTGAAGAACACATCCCGGCTGCGAGCTGATGGTTACTTAACCTCCCCCAAACCCACAGTGAGGACAGGCAGGACCCCACACGCTCTTGCTCTATACTTGCGACTTGAATCCGCACTGCGCCAACGAGCTGTGTGAGAGGGCGCAGCCAGGACTCGCCATGCCGTCATAAGGCAGCAGGACTCCGCTCGACGAGGCAACCCATTATTAGGGCACCTTCTGTTTGATGAGGGCCCAATGATCCCAGTCCATCTGCTCGCTTCGAGGCGGCCCGGTCCAGTGGTTTTTGGCAGGGAGGAGCTCCCACCCCCCCCCCCCCCCCCCACAAGAACTTAAACTATGACATGGTATAACGCAGAGGCCCACGGTGGGCCGGATGATGCAGGCTCAGCACCAGTGAGCAGACACGGAACCGAACAGATGCACCAAAATAGGAAGTGCAGGTGCAGAGCAGCACGAGTGAAAACGTCAAGAATCAGGACACAGAAGCTAAAGAATTTAACACTAAAGAAATATAAAAAATATTACCAGCTCACCATCAAGCCTTCTGTGCACCACTCACATGCCTTTGCATTTAATTTCTATGTCCAGACAGGGTGTATTAATTTGCAGACACTGACTCTGGCACCTAAGCCTGCCTTACTGACCTTTTTGACCACATTTGATGGGACACAGGTGTAATTCAGCTTAATTACACACCCCCTTTCTCTGTAAGCGCAGCTCTCAGAGCCAGAGAGCGAGGCTTCTGGATGTTTCCACCACCTCCAGCCCATTACTTCGCCGCAGACCTGAATCTGTAGTCGCGTTTGGCAGGCAGTTTTCCCCCACATGGCTTTAAAAGGTCAATTTCAGATAAGGCACATACTTTATAGGTAAGCAACTGGTAATGGACATAGAAGAGAGAAAACTGGAAGCCAAGTTTGAGAGGCAGCACATTTAGTGGGAAAAATAAAAAAGATTTCAATCCAATTCAAAACCAGAGCTGAACCGAAATCTTTAATCATATCTTGCAGTTTCACAAGCGGGTAGATAAAAGTAAACAAATAAAAAGGTATTAAGAGATAGATTTGCAGGTTCCTGCTCCCATCACAGACGTCAAACCCTGCCCCCCTGCCCCCCGAGCCATGGAACATCCCATCTAGAGAGCATGCAGCGAGCCTACAGCCCACTCCTTCCAGGTGGACATGGAAGTGAACCAGTCCAGCATACAAACAGGGTGCCACAGCAGCCACGGTTCACAGGAAGATAAAGCCCTTAGTGTTGCTTTAGCAGGACTTTGATGTCAATTTGCCGGATAAAAACTTGCTAATTGTTATACTCCTCCACTGCCAAGTCCCTGAGTCATGGGGAAGTGGAATGATGGGCGACTGCTCATCATGGGGAGCAACCGTGGAACTTTATTGATGTTAAATTGTGTCTTGGGGTGGTCAACATGGTACCCCGCCTATGCCCACAGAAGGTCATGGAAAAGATTCACATATTGCCAGGTTCTTAAATGAACTACAGCACACCAAAATACAAAGTACAACACAGATTAAATAAATAATGGCTATGAAAGCTCTAGGCTCAGTTACTGTGAACCTTATTTTAACAACAACAATGAGAAAAGTGCATGGGGGCAGGGAAGGAGGCTGGGGTAGGTCACACAGCGCATCCCATGAATCACATGACTGACCGCCCTGAAATGCAACACGCCTGTTTCCAAGCAACCACTTGCGTCTTTTCAGCCGTGATGGAGAGGTAAAGAAACTATACATTAAAACTGAAAAAGACAAAGCAGAGAGAGAGAGAGAGAGACCAGGAGCATTACTGCCAGGCTTCTCTATTAAATAAGTATAAAGGGGGTCTGGCGTGGATCAGCGTCGACTGCCCCCCCCCCCGCCCCAAGGCCACAGAGGCTGCCATGTGGAGCACGTTAACCACTAAGCCCAGCCTGCAGGGAGCCCATGCTACACGATCATCTTTATTGAGCACCTTACGCAGAGCGGGGTCCCCTTACTCTGGGAACAGCTGCGGGGGGAGTCAGGGCTAAGAAAAGAAGGGCCCGATGCTGGCATGACCAAGGCCAGGGGAAAACAGGGAGAAGCCAGCACTGACACAAAAGGGAGGTGGGGATGGCGGTGTGATTGTGTATGCATGTATACCGGAGAACACTTCCCCGGTTACTTATCGCGGCACACCTGCCTTCGGGGCCCCTCATAGGACAGCAAGCTCACCAGGTATCTATATACGTCCAACACAAGGACAGCCAGCCTGGCAAGCAATGGATGGGGGGGTGTGAGGGGGGGAGGGGGCTAACCCATCCCACAGAGCTTCATGCACACGGTCAGCCGATTCAGCCGACACGGTCACACTGTCGCACACAGAGCCTTTCTTCACCAGCAAGCCCACCGTATTGTGAGGCTCCATGTTTCCTAGGGACAGACAGCAGGATGGGGGCCCATCCTGACAAACTGTGGCTATACACATCCCCTGTTGCCCGGGAGAGCGGCTGGAGCCCAGCGCGGTGCGTGCAGAGACAGGGAGCACCTCCCCCTTTATCCTGAGCTCTCTCCTCCAGCCCGAGCCCTGCTCTGGGGCAGCAGGTACAAAGTTTCCTCTGTCCTGCCCAGCTGGGGGCTGCGCTCTGAAAAGCAGGGCCCCCACTTCATCAGCACAGAGAGGCCATTGATAGAGCCTCGCCGTGGACATGTGGGGGCTGCTGGGAGACATTAATGAACTGCTCACAGAGAGAGAGAGAGAGAGAGAGAGAGAGACAGAGGAAAGAGAGAAAGAGGGAGACTGTGAAAGGAAAACAGAGAAAACAGTGAAAGATAAGGAAGAGAGGAAAAAATGATGAGTATAATGGATAGAAGACAGAGGAGTGAAGGAGCATAGGACAAAATAAAGCCCATAACTAGAAGCACACCCCTTCCTGCTCCAGCTCGAAATAACAATGTCCACTGTTCCTTCCTGGAAATAAAACCAAACAAAAACAAACGCACAAAGATTTTTTCCAGTCGCTCTCCACGAGGCATGAACAGGGAGTACACGTTTAGCTGGATAAGCCGACCCCGCAGCCAGCAGGCTGCCGCTGAACCGTGGCTCGCAGCTAAACCGTCCCACGGCAGTGACGCCATGGGACGGCGCCCCCGCTGGCCTTGCCCGTAATCCAACAACAGCTCCATAACATCCTACAGCAATTAAGTTTGCTGGAATGACAGAATCACCGGGCTGCCAAATTCCGAGAGGAAACAGGCAGTCCAATTAGGGAGGGCAGGACAGAGCTCTCCTGGGCCACGATCCACGCGTTTCCCAGCCTGCTGTGACAAGAGGTGATAGTTTCCACGGCGACGTAAATGTCATAATAGGTCATGCCTCTGATCGAGAAAAATATTATTATTGCTCTAGAAAACGTGTCACCTGAGAGTGATGTGGGTCGGCTCTGTTCATGAGGAACGGCAACACAACCAGGGACAAGGTGCTGAATCACTGGAGGTGGCTTACACACACACCCCTCCCAAAGGAAACAGATTCTGTTACCTTAGGAGTAAAGAAAAAGATCACACGGCTTCACTACTGCAGCCAATTCAGTGAAATTAATGATCGTTTTGCAAGGGTATTCACTGTAGAGGACATGAGTAACATAGCAACTTTTATTACTAATCCAGTGTCGTCTCAGAATAATACACGTAGAGCTGAAGATGATGTGCTACAGAGCCTAGCTAAGCTGAAAATCAATATATCGCAGGGTCCTAATAGCAACTGATAGTTTTAAAAGAGATGAGGGGTATTATTTGCCAACCATTAGCCTTACTATTTCAGAAATCCTTGTCTGGTACCTTCTGATTGGAAGCATGCTAATATAATGCCCATATTCAAAAAATGGGATAGAAGTAATCCATCAAACTATAGGCCAATTAGTTTAACTTGCATAACTGGAAAAGTCCCGGAAGCTATAATCCAAGCGAAAATGCTAGATTACCTGGATTGAAATAACATTATGAGGGATAGCCAACATGGATTTAGGAGAAGTAGATCCTGTTTAATCTTTGAGGAAGCTACAAGAGAAACTGATCAGAAAAAGGCCTATGATGTGATCCACTTAGATTTCCAGAAGGCCTTTGATGTTGTCCCCCACAAACAGCTCCTACTTAAGCTCAAACCAGCAGGGATTTTAAGAACCGTAGCAGCTTGGATTGAAAACTGGTTAACAGACAGGAAGCAGCGGGTAGTAATTAGAGGCACAATGTCATAGAGCCTGCGTTCATAGTGGGGTACCCTACGGTTCAACTTTAGGACCACTATTGTTCCTAATTTACATTAATGATATTGACACCAATACATACAGTAAACTGGTTAAATTTGCAGACGACACCAAGGTGGGTGATGTAGCAGATACTGAACTAGCGGCATAGAGGCTACAGCGGGATCTTGATTTAATTAGTGACTGGGCTGATACCTGGCAGATGAAATTTGTAAGGTAATCCATGCAGGGAGCAGAAATATAAAGTACAGATATTTTATGAGTTCCACTGAAATAAAGATATCTAATAATGAGAAAGACCTTGGTGTGTATGTTGATGCTTCCATGTCCCACTCTCGCCAGTCTGGGGAGACAATTAAAAAGGCCAATTGGATGTTGGGTTACATCTCTGGGTGTATAGAGTTTAATCAAGGGAGGTGACGATAAGATTATACAACTCCTTGGTAAGATTCCACCTAGAATATTATATGTAGGTTTGGCCACCGTACCTTAAAAAGGACATTGCTGCCTCACAAAGGATTCGATGTAGGGGGACGTGATCCAGGTATATGAGATTCAGGTGTGGATGCTGTTCAAAATAGTTACTTCAGTGTTAGTTCAAAGTAACTCGTGGCCA